GTGGTCATGGGCATGGTTCTGAGGGCTTTAAAAGGAGTGCATGAGGAGCTATCCCTCTCTCTCTGCTCCACCATTCCTCATCATGTTACCCTGCCATCACTGAAGTCCCCACCAAAGAAAGTCTTCACCAGATGTCTTCCCTGGACTTTAGACTTCCAGCCTCTGGAACTGTAAGCAATAAATTTCATTTTCTTTACAAATCACCCAGTTTCAGGTATTTATGTTATAAGCAACAGAAATGGACTAATACAGTGTGGATTCGTTTGGGCTGAGATGATTAGCACAAGTTCATATAACTCTGCTCCCTACTGCCCCACCTGGCCAGGGGCCTGAGCCCTTGCCTGCTCAGAGCTGTACTAGCTTCCAGACTCTTCCAGCAGCCCTTCCCCACTGCAACACAAACACATACTGGTATGATATGAAGAAAGTCAAGGTTAAATGGTACTGATAACCATGGAGTTTTAGGAAAACAAGTGACTTGAACCCTGGTTTATATTTGTTCTGTTCTTCTTTCTTTTATTTACTTATTCATGTTTTTTTTAGGAGAGGCCACCCCCAATTTATAGATAACCCATAGTCACAAAAGAGGGCATTGACACCTCTCTCCTCCTCTCCATGACAACTGCTGCCACTGCGGAAACCACTTGGGAGGCAAGGGGAGAAACAAATACTGGTGCTTATTTACAGGATCCATAAGTTAAGGAGTGAAGGAATGAAGTTAACTATGAAAGCCAGGACTATTTGGGGAGACTTGATTAGAGGATAGATCCCCAAGCAGAGCAGGCCTATATGTAAGGTGACTGCCCTGCTTCAGTATTTTCCTCCCCTAATAGGAAGCTTTCCTGCTGATTTGCTCTGCTGCTTCAGTGCAAATTGTATTAGACCATTTCTGTTGCTTATAACAAAATACCTAAAACTGGGTGATTTACAAAGAAAACAAAATTTATTGCTTACAGTTTCAAAGTCTGGGAAGTCCACAGTTCAGGGAACACATCTGGTGAGGGTCTTGGTGGTGGCAACAGTGACAGCAGAGTATCACATTGCAAAAATGGTGGAGCAGAGAGAGAGACTAACCTCCTCAGAACCACACCATGACCACCATTTTTAACCCCTTCACTAAGGCATGGTCCTATAATCTAATCACCTCTTCAAGGCCCCACCTTTTAATTACCATAGTAAGATTTCCCAAGTTCTTAACAGTCACCGTGGGAGCCAAGTGTCTAATACATAAACTTGGGTGACACAATCCAAGCTTCAATGAGTTTAGGGATTGGGGAAGACTTTTAATCCATTACACAAATCAAAGGTTAATTTGGATTAACAAGTGTCTTCTTTGAACAACTCTGGACCAGTTAAAGGTCTACTAGCCATTGACACATGAGCATGACTTAGTTCAGTTAAAAACTTCCAACAAATCCCTTGTGGAGGGCCGGCCCGGTGGCACACTGGAGAGTGCGCTGCTTGGGAGTGCAGCGGCGCTCCCACCGAGGGTTCAGATCCCATGTGGAGACTGGTTCCTGCTCACTGGCTGAGCGCGGTGTGGGCACAACACCGAGGGTTGTGATCCCATTGCCGGTCAGTAAAAAAGACAAAAAAGGAAAAAAAAAAATCCCTTGTGGAAATCAGCTACAGTGGATGAAAGAGAGCTTGGGCGGAGAGAATAGGAAGTCAAATAAATTTGGAAAAGGGAGCACTTGGGAGGGGAAATCCTTGGAGCAACATAAGACTATGTCATAGGGGCCAGGAAAGGAGGCACCAGGGGAACAGAGTAGACAGAAAAGGAATGTAGACCTGATGGTCAGCAGCAGAGGAACAGCTAAAGAAAGAATGATTGTCCACCCACTGTATGGAAATTTCTGTGGCCATTGAAAAACTGATCATTAAGCTCTATTGCAATATGGGAAACACACCTAATATAATGTAGCGTGAAGAAAGCTAGAGGCATAAGAAAGAAATGTCAGAGACTGACAAACACAAACTTCACCTAGTTAAAAATTTTAACTAGAGTTGGATTGAAAGTCCTTGTATTAGTCCGTTTGTGTTGCTATAACAGAAACACCTGAGACTGGGTAGTTTATAAATGAAAAGAGGTTTATTTGGCTTATGAATCTGGGACAGCTGCATCTGGCACAGGCCTCAGGCTGCTTCTACTCACGGTGGAAAGTGGCAGGCAGCTGGCGGGTACAAGCAGTTCAGATGGCAAAAGGAAGCAAGAGAGAGAGAAGGTGCCAGGGTCTTCTAAACAATCAGCTCTCTCGGGAACTAATAGAGCAAAGACTCACTCATTAATCCCCCCTCCCCCAGGGAGAGCATTAATCCATTCATGAGGGATCCGCCCCCATGACTCAATCAGTTTCCAACACTGCCACATTGGGGATCAAATTTCCACGTGAATTTTGGTGGGGACAACACATCCAAACTCTATCAGTCCTCCTTCTCTTCCTTCCCCTCCTTCTCATGCCCTGATTCCCAGGACACACAACCCAAGTGAGTTCTAGGACTACTGTATTTTGGCTACATGATGCATGGAATAGACTTCTGTGATCTAGCAAACACTAGGAATATAACTATGGTTTATAGCATTGTTCCTATTGAGGAAAGCTTGAATATTCTCAACATTCAATTTAAAAATGTACTTTTGTTCATAAATTGGAGGCCGCCTATAAGTATAATCCTTGTAGCATTTTTCTAATTTATACTGTTATTTTAATAAAGGGGTTCATTCTTTTAGACAAAGCAGAATTGGCAAGATTATGTGGTTTGTCTCCCCACTCTATCTACTCCTAGAGAAGACTCATCTCTGGGTCCATCCAGGACACTCAAAGATGTTTCCCTCTAGCAACAGCTGCACCTGCGCTCAGCCTCTGCACGGCCTACCCTGTGCAGAACAGGTGCTTTGAGAAAAGAAACCATTAAAACAAGGGTCAGAGTTCTTGTGTGCTCTACTAGGAATTGCTCTGCTCATGTTTGGAATCATTCTAGATCATTGACAATGGAGAACAATCAAGAAAAGGGCTGTGTCCAGGAATTTGGTTTCTATTTTAATTATTTCACTTTATTTTATTATTTTCTTTTTGGACCTCAACTTCTGAGAGTTCGATTATCCATTCTCCTCAGTTCATGGCATTCTATCATCATGAAAGTCTCTGGATTCATTTTTATTTTTCACCTTCTACTTAATCCCCAATTTTATTTTTTTCCCTTTCACCCTGGGCATCTACACTATCATGTTTCATATATATTCTTGTAAATATTATTTTAAAGTATATTATTTTGAGTATATGCATTTTAATTTACATAAAATGTTCTGTAATATAAACATTATTTTATTCCTCTTTTTTATTTAACAATTTTCAAGACCATCCAATTTGCATCTAGTTCAGGACTTCTACTACATGTTATATTGTATTCCCTAGAATGAATCCACCACTTTTTACTTACCCACACCCCTAAGGAAACTGGTGTGATAGGAAGATTCTAAGATGGTCTCCAAGATTCCTACCCTCTGGTAAACATGCCAGGTAAAATCCATTCCCCTTAAGTGTGGGCAGAGCTATGATGAAATACCACTTCCATGACTAGATTATTAATCCATTAACTCTGAGTTAATCGAAAGAGAGGGTATCTTGGGTAGGCCTGACCTAATCAGGAAATCCCTTTAAAAGAAGGTAAGGCATGAGAGAGTTGCTTATCTTACTGGCCTCAAAGAAGATGAAAGCTGCCATAAATTCTCCAGCTGCATGAAACTGAATTTGGCCAACAATTTGAATGAGTTTGGAAAAGGACGCTGAGTGTCAGATGAGACTGCAGTCCCAACCAACACCTTTATTTTGCACATATTTGAGACTTGAACAGAGGACCCAGCTAACCTATGCCTGGGCTCCTGACCCACAGAGATAATAAACGGGTGTTATTTTAAGCTGATAAATTTGCAATAATTTGTTGCATAGCAAGAGAAACCTGATACACATTTGCCCCCAACACCCACTATAACAAACAAGATGGTATAAATATCCTCATACATATCCCATTAGGGACCAATATATATCTGGTGTGTATATATAGGAGTGGAATGGCTAGGTCATAAAGTATAAATACTTAGGGCCGGCCCGGTGGTGCACTCGGTAGAGTGCGCCGCTTGGGAGCGTGGCAGCGCTCCCGCTGAGGGTTCGGATCCCATATAGAGACTGGTCTGCTCACTGGTTGAGCACGGTGCGGGCACGACACCGAGGGTTGCGATCCCGTTACCGGTCACGAAAAAACACAAAAAGGAAAAAAATAAAAATAAAAAATAAATAAAGTATAAATAATTAAATTCACTAAATAGAGCTAGATTATTCTCCAGAATGGTGGAATATACCAGCCATACATAAGGGTTCTATTACTGGACATCTTTACCAACACTTGATATTACTTTCTTTTGAAAAATTTTGCCTTTCTGATGGTATAAAGTAGTATCTCCCTGTTGTAATTTATATTAATTTGACTTCTATGAGTTTGAGTATTTCTTCATACACTACTTAGCCATTTTTTCACTTCTTTCTCTCATGTTTCTTTTGGAATCCTATTTCTTATTGATTTACAGATGTTAATTGTATGCACTAGATACTCATCTTCTTTCAGTTTTATACATCACAAATGTCTTCTCCCAGTCTGCCATCTGTCTATTAATTTTGTCTCATTCATATAGCAATAGAGAAATCAGCTGCTACGTGGTTTAAGTCACTAGTATCTAGGTCTCAAGCAAGCAAACCTATATCCTCACTAATGTTCCCCAATTCCCAGCCACTTTCCTTGTTCTTCCAAATATCCACCTTCAGTCCTTCCTGCTGAAATTCAAATAATTTTTCTTCTTGTTCTCTAGTGAAAGGAGTGTTCACTTGCTGCCAACACCGAGTATCAAACAGAGAATATATCTTATATTCAAGTAATGTTTTGACAAACACTAGGCTTGCGCAGCCATAATTCTTTCAAATTTTAAGAATTGAGTTGCCAGACCATTAAGAATTCTGTAGTTTTTTATTATTTTACTATTAAAATTTTTAATCTTGAAATTGGTTAATCTTAAAGTAAAAACTAACCATATATTTGTTTTATATATTATATACACTTGAGAAATAAATAGTGTTCTAAGTAGCATTTTTAAAAAGCAACATTATATACAATTAAGGCTTCAAGCCAAATGTATAAATACACAACCCACTGAGGATTCGATTCCCAAAGCTTTCATTACTAAAACCAGAAATCAAAAGGATCCAGGATGCACAGCCCAAAACACAAGCTTCATTCTGGCTAGAAAGCAATCACAGAAGCAACAGGGACACACCACTGGATTGAGAGCATACCTTAAATTAAGACATGACTGGTTATGTCTTCAGAAGTTTGGCATTAAACAGTGATACAACTTTGGTGCAATACAGATAAACCAATATCCTTTAAAAACCTAAGTACAAGGAAAATCACTGTTCCTCCCCCATCTGATACAACACTTCCTTCCAAATAAATCTCATCCATAAAAAGCCCAACCCCTTGGCACAGGTGTTCTCCTGGTTATATATTAATAAAAGGGTTTAGGATTTTATGGATGGCTCTGAAAAAAAGTCCTAGTTTGCCACATCTGGAGCATATTGCTGGGAAATGGCTATAGATACCTTCATGAAGTTTCAGAGATGAGTGTACCATGGACTTTGCCTCCACAGAAACTGGGTCCTCAGCCTGGCTTTATCATCAATTTGGTATATAACTCTAGGCATGTGGCTGAACCTCACTAAGCCTCAGTTTTGTAAAATAGGGATAATAGCAGCTGCCCTGCTCAACTCGCTCCAACTAGGTGATGCATATGCAAATCTTTTGAAAAGTATAAAAGGGTTTCTCAGATATCATGTATAAGAAAGTGGTACTAGAGCAAGGTATTTTGAGGAAAAATCATTGTAGTAAATCTTAGAGCCAGCTGTGTTTGACAAGTGCTGGTTTCCGTATGAACAGATATGTATAAAATGTGCATGTAATACTTCTATTTCCCTAAGTAGAGGAGATTTTGCTCCAAAGAAATCATATCCAGCAATTGGCCACCATTTTCTGGCCCCAGCACCTATAATACTATGCTTGCTATTCTACTAGTGATGAAATATGTCACTCTTGGGGGAAATGGCACGTGTCAACTAAGAAGAAATAGGTAGAAACCACTTAAAACCTCAGGGTCTCCGACTCTTACATCCTGAACATTTCCCCCATGCCCCTCATGCCTTTCACCACATGTATACTCATGGACCATCTAAACTGAAAGGGCTTCTAGAAATCCCAACCCCACTAGGTTCTGAATGGAGAGGGTTAGTAATGCATCTACTGCCACATACTAATTAATCTTAATTAAGTGCTCAATAAACACTTGTTCAATCAAAACACTAACAGTGGAAAAATAAGAAAGCCAATGATGAGTGTTTCAGAGAGTGAGGTGGGGAGCAGGACAGAATGCCTAAGGGGTAACCAGTATCGATCGATGCAGCCCATCAGAACTCCAATGGCGAGGGCCTCAGCTCCAGCCCAGGTGGACCATCCCCTCTCTGGGCGGACAAAGTAGCAGGACTGCCACCCTGACGTGAATCAGCCCCCAGCAGAAAAACCTCTCACTAAGGCTCAAGTCAGGCTAAGTAGCTGACAGCCTCTCATTGAGCCATTTCAGAGCCAGTGTTCCTTGTCAGGCAAAGCACAGGCTCACACAGCAACTGAGAAGCCATTCAGCTGTGTGCACTCAAATCTGGACTCGGTGCTCTCGGAGGCATCCACGGAGATCTGGAGTTAGAGCTATTCTAGAGCAGCAACAGGAGCTACAGCAGTGCACTGTCCCTCCTGTGAGAAGTCCCAGCCCATCGTGAGAGACAAAGGTCTGGGCCCAATGAGCAAGTTCATCCCGGTGCTCCGGGGTCAAGGCCAAGAGGTGTTCTTCCTTCAGGTGAGTCCTCAGCAGTAACTTTCCTCCATGTGCTTGGACGGTGGGGTGGGGAGTCCTCGCTGGCCAGACTTCCCGGGGAACCCTCAGGGGAGCTCCGCAGCTGGACTGTAAGGAACCATGTGAGAGTGGCGTTCGTTAGCTCGCTTGCCAGCAGATGTGCAGACCTGTGTGGGGCTGTGCTCTGCCACCCTCAAGATGCAGCTTTCTGACACACCAATCAGACACTCTTACTTACTTTCCTTTCAGAACAAATAGACACCATCCTGAGTGCTTCCTTCTCCCCCTCACTCCACAAGGCACAGGTTCACGTTGAGAAACACCACCCCGGAGCCCTGTCTGGACCCCTAGCTGCATGCTTCATGGTCCTTGCATTTACATATTTAGTACAATAGGCACCCGCAACACACACACATGCTCACACACATGCACAAGTGTGTGGAGAACTATCAAAGTGTCCTCTTTGCCTCGATTGAGAAATACAAGAGACTGTTGTATGGTAGGAAGGAGGCAGAAATCAGAGACCTGGATTCTAGTCTCAGCTACACAAACTCACCATTGAACTTTCCTGAACCTCAGTCTCCTTATTGGTGAACAGGTGAACAGTATCCGTGTCAGCAGGGAGAATACTGAAGGTGTCACGTGAGTCTAGGGATGCTACAACTGCCTAACATTAGTTTATTACTTGGGCTCCTACTGTTTTCTGTTCCTTTGAGGGATAGGGAAGGAATGGCATGCTTTCTAAAAGAAGTAGCGTGAGGCAGGTAGTCATGTAGTTCTCAACTGCTGTGAAGTTCTGGAGCAGAAAAGAATAAAGTATCTCATCCCTTATTGTAAGAATAGTGATCCTTCCTGGGTGTGCCCAATTGACATGGCTGTTCTAAAGACCACTGAAGTTAATATATATGAAAACACTTTGAAAGGTATAAATTTGAAAACAAACAGAAAGAATTTAAATTATTATGACAGCAGAAAATGATATGAGTCTACACTAGACTGACTCCCTTAATTAGATGGGCAGTTTTTAGACCCCACAAGTCCTGTGATCACTGTGCATTAGTCGCGTTGATGTGCTCCTAAACAGGAGCCAGAGCAGCTGGGGATGCAGCCCAGCCCTCCAGGTTGGCAGACGGTTAATCACAGAGGCCCCCAGAGCATGGGCACAGCTGCTTGATAATTGATACCCAGACCGAGGTGAGGTGATTCGTCTGAGTGAGAAGGAACCTCGAGAACACAGGCTTTAGAGTAGACCGGTCTGCTTCAAATCCCCACTCTGCCATCACTAGCTGGGGGGCCTTGGGAGAGTGACTTAATCTTCCTGAGTCTCAGTTTCTTCATCTGTACTCAGGGATAGCAGCACCTGCCTCAGAGGGTTGGTGATGAAACTAGATGATTATGTAAGTCCGTGGATGCAGGGTGGGCACAGGCTAAGCACTTGGTGCATGGCAGCAATATTACTATCTAGTACCCTGGTTGGGCAAGGGTGGGGGCAAGAATTGGTGGGGAGATGGTCTCCCTCCTCCTCAGCAGGTATTTAGGCTCAGAGGGTATGTGGCAGGTGCCCCCAATAAACCCACTGCCTCACACAACGACAAGGGCCTTCCTCGATTCTGAAACAATGGGGTTCCCGCACGGGGCAATGGGACACTGAAGCTTGATGATGCCTTTGTCAGACTCAGCTCCCCGTACATGACCACTCCAGCTTCTCAAAAAGGGGGGCATGAGGCCCCCTAATATCCACTCATGCCAAACTGGGTTCCAGAAAACCTAAAAAGGGGTAATATACTCTGTGCTTCTCCCTTACCTCCCAGTCCCACTCTTCCCTTCTGACCCCTCTCTGTGCCCAGAAGGAAGCTAGGAACCCTGGAACCTTCCCACTGCACTGCTCACTACAAAAAAGATATCAATCGAAGGTGGGAGGGCATGGGCACCAGCCCGGGGGTGTAGCTACTGAAAGGACCTCACTCCAGTAGGGCCATGTACTGTGAACAGGGTGAGGCAGCCCAAGGGACAAGGGACACTAACATCCTCTGCATATTTATTTATCTGTCTCTCTACTCCCAGCAGAAGGTCAGCTTCACAAAGGAAGGGATTCCTATCTGTTTGGTTCATGCTACGTGCCAAGCACACAGACCCACGCCCAGCACGTGCGAGGTGACCAGCCAGCATGTGCTGAGTGAACACATGAGAAAGTCCTGGTTACCTGGTTTCGTTTTTCATTCTCCAGCCATCCCGACACTTGTGAAACCAGAGCTCTTGGCCGGGGGATATGCTAGTTTCCTCAGGGTCTTCTGCACAAAATGTCAATCTGAGAGGAAGAAGAAACCGCTGATGTCACCAAAACTCTTGGGGAAATCTAGACTGGGCTTTCTGGATTTGAGGTGGGTAGAGCAGGGAACAGAGAAGTTTCCATCATGCCACATCCTGACTCAAGAGCCTTCTGGACTCCCCATCACTGCTACAAGGACTCTTGTACTACAAGATCTTGTACTACAGGGATTTGGCCTCAGGCAGCCTTAACCACACCTCTCTCACCTCCTTCCCCCTGACTATCCAAAAGGTCACCTGCCTTTCAAGGCCACAGCCATCTGGGAAGCCTCTCTGACAGTGTGAGCCCTGTTAATCTAACCCTCCCTTGACCTCTCAACTTAGTAAACTCGTATATCCTCATATAAATGTTGCTTTTGTTACTGTCATTACTTCTTGTTGCATGAAGTTAATAATACATGTTTTGTTTTATTTTAAAACATTATACACTACCTGGAATTGCTCGAGGCTTGACTTCTATTTATGGTAGCCTTCTCCACTAGACCGTAAACTCCTTCAGTGGAGGAATTTAAGGTACCTCTAGAGCAATGTTCCATGAATGCCCATTGACAAGAGCAGCTGGAGCTCAGCTACAAGTCGAAATCAAAGATTCAGCAAACGGACAGCCAAGATCACAAGAATCGGGTCTGCTAACCATTTCACTATAACTCGTGGCTGCCCATTCAGCCTCGCGGTGTGTGATTGGCATGACCACATGATCAATAAATGTGTGGGCACCTGACCCTGATGCAGAGGCAGGACAAAAGTCACATTCACAACAGTGTAAGAACCTTTCCCAGGAAGACCTAAGGACCTTAGGACCTATATATTATAAACATATAAAAAGATGACCTATCTCACTCACGATCAGGAAATGCAAATTAACACAACAGGAAGGGACCCATTTACACCTAACAGAACGGGCAAGAATGCCCACGGTGAGGAGGAAGGGAAAGAGGAGCTCTTACTCTATGGGCTAAGAGTGGAAATTAGTCCAACCACTTTGGAGAGGGATTTAATAATATCTGGTTATGTTGCAGAATGCATATACTGTAATCCAGCAACTCCACTTTTTTAGTACACATGCCACAAAGAGGCCATCGAACACATGTGCAAAGAAAATGTATAAGGATGTTCATCTCAGCACTATTTGTAACTACAAAAAAGGTCACAACAACTTAGATAGTCAGCAGAATAGTGGTAAAACTACTGTTTGTACAGTGATGATTCACATACAGAATTAAACATGAATAGACCAGATCTGCAAGTATCAGATAAATTTCACAAACAATGTTTGAATGAAAAAGGAACTTGTAAAATAATATACCCACTCATGTAACATTCAGAAGCATCCAAGACAATGCTATACATTGTTTATGGATACAAACAGAAGTACTAAAGGTGTAAAAGCATGAAGGAAGGAAACACGCTACCATTGGTTAGTTAATGTTCAAATATTTGTTATATTTGGTTTGAGAGAACGGGAGGAATAGGTCAGGGGAAGGGTATGAAGGGGCTTCAGCCAATATCTGTAATGTTTTACTTTTTAAAAATCTTATGTCTGAAGCCAATATGGAAAACTGTTTCAATTTCTTAAGTCTTAGTGGTGATTTAATAGGTATTTATTTTATTTTAAATATTGTACAGGTTGGCTGGTTAGCTCAGTTGGTTAGAGAGCAGCCTTATAACACCAAGGTCACAGGTTCAGATCCCCATACCAGCCAGCCAAAAAAAAAGAAAACTGAAATATTTTATAAAAATGATCCTCCTCCTGCTATCACACCCATAGGCATAGGTTGTACTTACAAGAGCCCAGAGAAATAAAAAGATACACAATTACCTAAATTACAGGCTGGTACCTCCAGTTCACAGTTTCTAGAGGGACCCAAGCTTCTGAGGCATTTTCTTCTGCTGCCAAGCTGGGCCATAGATGATGGGTGTAAACAAGACATGTGAAGAATTGCAATGAAGAAAAGGCCACAAGAGGGACAAAGAGGCGAAAGCTGCTTTCTCTCATCCCAAGGCTGGCAGTGACCTCTCCAGAAGTCAGCTGAAGGCCTTGGTTAAGGAAACTCTCCTCTCTTAACAAAGTCTCCCAGGGTTCCCTGGCTTTGAGCCATCTCTGGCTTCTGTTTAGAAAGACGCCTGCTCAGAGAGTCAAGGCAGGGCATCAGGAGCTGATACATAAAGGTCTGGATCTTTCATGCTAGGCTTGGGGTTAAAAATAAAATGGGGATGCTACCAGCTGGCATGGCACAGAGGATTCTCTGTTAGTCAAAGTTAGGACCCCAGCCTTGACTAAGAGCCCCTGAAGTAGAGAAAGAGTGACACTCAAAATAAGATGTTGCGGAAGACCAAGTCCTCCCACAGACCTCATCTGTGGGGGCTCCCTGAACATGACACTCTGGTTTGCTCTGGGTAGAAGCAAGGCCTTTTGATGCATGGACCCCACAGAGAACAGATCAACAAGGCAGCACTCCTAAAGAGCCCTGTCTAGCAGAGGCCACCCCTTTCTCTGAGCCGACACAGAGCTTGGCAAACAGAACAAGGGCCAAATTCCAGCCTCCACTTGCCCACTCTCTCAGCCAAGCGCCTGCAATCACAGCATGAGATGCACAACAGTTGACAGAAGCCGTGATCTGGTAGTCACTTTTTCTTGCAAAGGTGTTTGAGGTTTTGCCTGCAAGCTCTGGCAACAGAAGGACGGAGGCTGCATGCTCAGCAAAGGAAAGGACGCGGCAGAGGCACAGCCTTCTGCCAACCATTTACACGGGGCAGGAGAAGGGCCAGGAGGCACTTACTTCCGCTGGGTTTCCCCAGACTTGACCCGGATGCGCCTGATATTCAGCTCCCGCGCAGGGCTGTGGGGTTGAGACAGGTAGCTGCGAAGCTCCTTCCACAGGTTGTACCAAGACTGAGATGTCGCCTCCCAGGTGAGTTTGATCTTCAGGAGGTCTCCCAAGTCTTCCTCGGTGTAGACCAGGAAGGTGTTGGTGGCATTCAGCTCAATCTGCTCCACTCTACGTGGTGAAAAAGAAGCTGCTCTCACCCCCCTGCCACCTGGAGAACTGCCGCACTTGAGGGTTGAGCCCGTGGCAGCCCCTACCCCCCTGACTGGAGAGAAACAGGTGTGAGGGCCCTCCCCCACCTCTTGCCCTCCACATCCCACCAGCAGGACCAAGGTGGAAACTCAGTTGTGTTCCACACTGACAGAGAGATATCTTTGCCCACAGTACCCGGGTTTCTTATTAAAACCATTTTCGAGCATCTCTCTGGGCATGCTACTTCCTGGGGAGACAGTACTAAGAAAGGCAGAAATAGGAAAACACAAAGAAGTCGCATCCCCACTCAGCAGTGTGCAGTTTGTCTCCAGCCTACAGGCTCTGAAATCCTAGCCTCTTCCTGCCGGTCCCTCTCATTTGGCACTGGGGGTGGGCTGCCTTGCTGGTATGGTCTGAATATCTGTCCCCTCCAAAGCTCATGTGGAAGCTTGATCCCTATTGTTACAGTGTTCAGAGGATGGGAAATCAGACTATTGTAGTGAAAGGAGGGGCCTTTGGGAGGTGTTTGGATCGTGAGGACTCTGTCCTCACGAATAGATTAATCAATTCATAGATTAATGGGCCAGTAGATTAATGGGTTATCATGTGTGTGGGCTGGTGGCTTTATAGGATGAGCAAGTGAGCGCGTTAGGAAAGCACTCTCACTCAGCCCTCACCATGGGATACCCTGCACCACCTCAGGACTCTGCTGAGAGTCCTCAGCCAAAAGAAGGCCCTCACCAGATGTGCCCCTTAA